GGCTTATTTCAAAGTGATTCAATGCTCACTTGCCCTATAATAATCACCATGTTTAAGTTACAGTAGACCAATTCTTGACAGGCAACCTGTGAGACTGAAAATGGTTACTTTTATTAAAATGGATGTGTGCAGTTTTCCGATAAGTTAACACATCAGTGAAGGAACAAAATATCTACATGCAATATTAATGTATCCACTGTTTTTACGTTCACATGTCAAGCATTAACATCTGTGTACTGTTTTCTTTTTGATTTAGGAGAGTGCTCTTCTGTTGAGTGGTGGGATAATATACACAAAGATTTGGATATGTAAGTGCATTAAGGGCTATTGATAAAAGCATTTGGGTTGCGATCATTGCTGTACCTAATATGGCTCAACTTGAAATGTTTACTGTGGGTGAGAGTTTATAAATTTATTTTGGCTCAAGTGGACAGATTTTATGAACGCTTCCATTTTATGACTGTAGATACTACTAAAAGAAATCCATACAGTCTTTTTTTTCTGTAGATTAACAACCTGCTTCCCAACAGGTGCTATGTGAATGGCCTGAAATACATGTTAACTGTGTGTTGTATTTGGAAATGTTGATTCTGGTATTTAGAAGCTGTTTGTTAGGTAACATAGTGTTTATGGAAAATGCAGTCTTCATCTTTCATAGCGCTCTGTTCTCTGTTACAAGGGTAGGTCTGTCTGTACTGAAAGCAACGGTCTATTTTATTTACTGGCTTATATTTCATGACTTTTTTCATTTATTTCTTCCAATTAAATACTATGGAGAGAAAAATTATATTTTAAAATTATTTTAGAACTGCCTGCGTACTACTTACTGGTAGGTTTTTGTATGTGAAATGGCACCTTTTTAAACAGACCTGAAACCCAAATACCTCTCTGAAGCAGTGGCAATGACGACAGGGAAGGGCTGTGGGTGATGAGCGTGTTGTGAAGCGAGCATGTGAACTCCATGCTACCTCCGCCTGTGCTAGTCCTGAGCCGAACACTGTACCTGGGCTTTCGACACGTGATCCTGGGCTAGGGCCTGCAGAGGAGCTCCCAGCAGCCCGGCTCCCAGTGCCATGCTCTGGTTTCTAGGCGCTGTGGCACGCTGGGTCCTGGCTGGGGACCTGCATTCTTGCACGGAGTGTAACTAACTGCACCAATTCACCTGAACTCACGTATTGAATAAATGGTAGAAGTGAAAATACGGTGAGTTGGGGCCCCTGCCAGCTCCCTTTAGGGCCAGCGGGGTGAGAAGCCTGCTTCAGCAGAGCTGCAGCCCCTGTGTGCTGGGATCTGGGCAGCGTCCGCGCCAGCGTGCTTCATGTTCGGGAGCTGGGAGCTGGGAGCTGCCTTCTGCTCCCATCAGGGCGTGAGGCCCTTCTACGTGCTCAGCCAGGATCAGCTCTTGAGGCAGCCACGTCCAGGAAGCTAAGCTGGTTCCTCTGGCTCTTGCTCTGGTGCCTTCTGTGCAAAAACCGCATTACCCTGGCCAGAGGGAGCCCCACAGCGGGAGCCTGGCCCGCAGCAAGCAGCAGGAGAGCCCTTCCGAGGAAATCAGCGGGCACCTCAGCGTACAAAATGTAAATGAGCCCTTCTTGAGGAATTTAAATACTCTGGTGATTGCCCGATCTATTAGGCATCAGGATCCCTTGGGAGGGGAGAGGGGAAATCGTTACAGCGATACATCTGCCCTAGTAGCTGCTCCTTATTTGTCTTGGTAGAATGATGCGATCTGAGCTACTCTACCAGCATGCAGGACATACTGTTTATTTTAAGAAAGACTTGGTTATTTTTGTTGTATTTAATGCCTTTATTTCCCTCCCATTTCCACCCCCAACCTGTTTAATAAATAAAAGCTGTCCTATGTGAAATCCCTGACGCGTTTCATTAAATTGATGTTCTTTCTCAGGGCAGAATTTGACAGACCGTATTAAACATAAAACATTCTGATCTCCTCCCCGCCCCGCAAGAAATGCAGTTCTTTCCTCCTTCTGCTCCCACTTTTTTATTTCAAACTGTTTCTCAGCGTGCTTTGAAAAACTTGGTAATTTGAATGATTACAAAAGGATCAGATAAAATACCAGTTAAGGCAGAGGAGAAGGCTCAACCACGGTTTAGAAGCTATTAGTTCTTTCCTAGTCAGATGCCTCTTCCATGCAGTCTCACCTTTGAACGCCGTTATTCACCTTTCACTAGGTAGAGGACTGTAGGCATAGTTCGTTTATACTTTTTTCCTTGGCTTTGAATTTTTGTTGCTATTTACAGAAACACAGGAGTGGTGACTCAAGCTAGTTTTTAATCTTTAATGGCTCAAAGACTATACACTCATTATTTTGGCCATATGAATTGTCTTTGGAGGCTTAAAAACTACAATAATTAACTGACTTGTACATATATTGATGTGTGTGAGGTGCAGACTATAGAAAACAGGCTGAAATCAGACTTTACAACTCATTAGCTTGTGCACTGTCCACAGATCTCAAAGAGCAGGGAAAGCCCCAAAGAGCCTTGACAGGAATGGAGACTATTCCTAGTGTCTTCCCTGTGCTGCTGCAGACTCTAACTCAGCTACAGACTATTTCGGGGGTAAGCTGGATTCAGGGGCAGCAACCGCTGCTGTTTAATATTTCTTCTCCTCTAGTTTGTCTGAACAGTCTTTGGGCCCAATGACTCATTAACAGCTCTGTTAAATAACTACAGTGAGGTGACTGTGCTGACCCTAGTCTCCACCCTGTGCCACCGATGACCTGACTTGTTCCTAATTTGAAATGACTGACATGTAAATATTGTGTCAGCCTCTTGTACTCTGAAGCGCTTTGCCAAGTATTCTCTCTGCTGCAGCCTACCCGGCCTTTGAGCCCGATGGCTGTCATGGCACGGCGGGTAAAGCCATGGTGCAGCCACCACCGCACGGGACAGCCACCACCTCCGTTCACAGCCTGCGCCGAAGCAGCGCTGCACTGGGAGACAACCGTTACCACTGCTGAGCTCACCCTGGTGATGTGTTCTGTGAATCCAGCCCCCCCCGTGCTATTCCAAAATTCTTCAGACATTCTTCTAGAAGCATATTCTATGTCAGCTTTCTGAAACCCAGGTTTCTGCTCTGCCCTCTTGTGCGGAGCATACAGCTACTCTGCCCGCCTTTATTGTAGGCTGAGATATTCCCGTTGCTTTCCCTTGTGCAACAGATTTCCCCCAGCAGCAGTATCTGAACACGCTCAGTAAAAGCTTTTCCATTGTTGTACAACCCAGCTACGATTGCTGAACAGGAACCGCTCAGATTTCAGTGCTTTGCTTAGTTCCTGTCCTCTGCTGATGTACTTAGTGCATATGTTCAAATCCTTCACGCAGGAGCCAGTGGTGTGGGCCTCTCCACATCCAAGTTACAAGACAAGGCTGCAGCCACCGAACACCAAACTCACGCGTGCTACACAGATTTATTTCTTACTCTGCCAAAGGGAAAAGTGAAGGACATACATAGTGACGCCTGCGCCTTCCACACAGAGTACAGAATACATTTTCTATTGTGCATTCACCTTGAAAAAAATCTTGATGAAGATAAACCTGTAAGACACAGCTACTGCTGCACTGAAGAAAGCTGACCAGCTCTTAAAGTGATAGTCTGGGGAAGAAATGGTGTACAGCATGTAGAAAAAAACCAAAACAGTTCTCTTCTCATAAATGGTTTTTAGCTATTTTGGGGTTTACTTTTTTTAGCTTACCACCCAAAGGGGACATACACCATAAACTACGTGAACAGAACCATCTCTAAGATGACTGCTAATACTAATGGTAGCCTCTGTTTCTTGTGATGGACTGATTCTCTGGAATATAACTGTTAGCTTACATTAAAATATAAAAGTTAAAAAAAAAAAAAAAGCTGATTGCTGCAAAGATATTCAGAATCTGAAAGTAAGACTGCTGCCACAGTGTTGGTTCAGACCACTTGCATATTATGATATAGTCTTTATGTACAGAATCATACTACTTTTAACCCACCATGGACCCAGGAACTGGGTAAGTTAGAGAGAGTGGCCGATTCTGACTGAACGGATCTCTTCAGTGTTTCTCACGGAATAGGCATGGCAAGCGAGGCTCGAGGACAGCTTCCTCATGCCGCACACTACAGCGCTGCAACCTGTGAGTGACAGAGCTTTTTAATCAAGCAGCTGTAATGATTTACCTACACAGGACCTTTGCCTTAACCTTGTTCCTGCGAACAGTTTCACATGAAACACTCCTTAGAAATAAAGGGTCAGCATTATTATTATAGAAAATTTCAACCCAGATGGCTAATGTTTGCCAAAGTTCTCACACACAACAGAGAAATCTGGTCTCAAAAGGTAAAGTGTTAATCTTTCTTTGCTGGGGATTGTACTGGAATATGAGCTCAGAGCGAAGCTGCTTTAGAGAGCCTTCTGCCTATTCAGAACATAGAGACACATTCTTGAGGTGCAAAACTACCCCTCCTGTCTTAAAAACTGTGTGAGTAAACGTTAGTTTAAAGGAATAAGCAACATGCTCAAAAAACAGGTCTGGTTACTTCTCACTAAATGAGAGGGACCAAAAAAAAAGCCTCACCAGTATCTTTTTTTGAATTTTTTTAATGGCTAAGTGTAACAAAACCAAGCAACCATGAAGAAGGTAAGCACACGTACATTCCGTAACTTCAGATGTGTTACTCTATAACTAAATTGTGTGAATTGACCTCAATACTTGTACCCTCCTTACTCTTCCTCCCCCTCTCACATGAAAGATTGATACTCAGTGCAGCTCTGAGCCACGGCTCAAACTCAGTAGAAATATTTTCGTTACCTTCAGTAGGAAACGTTATTAGGCCAGGCACGGAAATCAAAGACTTTTCTGGCCTGTTTTAACTTCCTGTACCTCAGTGTTTGCTTTCATTGATCAGAATACCCTTCCTGACTATCAGATTAGTGTTTTTTTTACTAGCAGGAATCCTCTGAGAGTTCACATATTTCTCCTTTTGACATGACTGCTTCTTTCAAAGGCTGTTACTTGATTCAGATGTAAGATTTACATGATCCAAGATACGCAACTTAAATTTATAATCTAATCATTTAATTTGATAGTGCAAATACAAAACTGGCAATTAAGTGGACTAAAAAAAAATTTTCTTACAGGACAACCCTGTTCAATCCTTACTATTTCAGAAGGACTCCGTAGTAAATCCTGTTCAAAAACCACATTATCTGTTTTGTGTTAATAGACTGATCCCACAAAGGAGAACAAATTTTTATAATTCATTGTGTTGAAGACCTTGAGAGATTCTGCTGGATAAGTCTTGCAAGTGCTTCTTTACCTAGCGTGAAAACAAAACACGTTAAACAAATTTTAGTAAGACAATGAATTATCAATACCATACATTCAGATTTCGCTATCAGCATATGTGACAACAGAAAGAGCAGAGACCAGGGAGATTTCAGGCATTTTAGAATTAGGTCTATAAAAAACAATTATGCGTATCATGTACTAAACATGGAGCACAGGTATGCCTTAAACTCCCCCTCTGGAAGTCATTCAAATTGCATGAAAAATCAGCACTGGATAATCTACATAGCCTCTACTACTAAGTTAAACTTTCAACACGTATGTAAAATGGATTTATACAGACCTTATATCCTAGTTCTTTTGTCTTTTCTTCCAGCATGGCATATTTCTCTTTGTTTCTGTTCAGATGATCCTTATCTCCAGTTCCCTCTACATGTTTCAGTTTCTGGTGTGAAATCTCTAATTGTTTCTGATAATGATGGTGTTTTTCAATTTTTGCTTCAAAGTGTTTCAGCTCCTCCTAAGACAACAAATACACACAAGCTTCACAGGATTTTCTTTCAAAGGCTTCCTCTCTCTTTTCTTGCCAAGACATCCCTAATGTTGTTTTACTAAGTCAAGCACAGAAAGCTTTTTCAGTTCCCTGCTTCTTAAGAATGTCTGGACAATACATTATCAGCACCACCCAGACACCCAATTTTGAAGGCAGGTGCTGAAAACAATCCACTGCAGGATCCTCAAAAGGAGACTGCTGATGGCTGCGAGTGCCAGGAGACGATAACAGTGAGTACCAAACAAAAGTTTATACATAAGAACAGTGGACTGGGGGGAGGGAGACAGATAATTTTTAAGAGAAGCCACTTTTTAAAAATCAGGTCCTGGATTTGCCATTCTCTGCTCAGTTTTGAATGTTTTTTGGGTTTGCAGTCTGCTATGATGAATCTGAAATATGATGAATTAATTAACAAACAAAAAACCCTGGTTTGTCCCAAACACAGTGGCCAGACTAACCATGGTGTTCAGAGATGTATCAGAGATGGTTCTCAGATAACCTGGTACGCTGCAAGGGGGACCAAAGAATGAGTAATGTCTCTACCCACCAAAGCATGCTCTTGTTTTGCTACTTCAAGGCAGTAAATTCAGGTTCTGTCTGTCTTAGGACACATCCTCTGTGAAGAGGATATGAACAGTTCAAACTCTTACACCACTGACGGCAGCAGTTCTGTGCATTACATCAAGAAAAACTCTGACAAGCCTTACAGTGAAATCCCCCTGTTTGACAGAGCCCACTTAATTCTGGTCACTGGTGTGTTTCAGTCTAGGTGGCTGACAAAATTCCTCTCGTTTCAATTAAAAAAAAAAAAAATTCCATCATTCTAAATAGTTCTTCTTCAGTTTTCAAAGCAGAGGGTTTTTGTTTTCAACATTTCTGACAAGAAAATACTTTCCTTTTGCTGTAGAACATTCCAGTCTGTTTTATATACTCCATTCATGATGTCAGCTTGGGGTTTTACTGCTCTAATAAAGCATTTTAGCTGCTCCTCTGAGATGGCACTGGTACTACATCAATACCAGGAGAGCAGCACTTGTGTCTTTCATTATGAAACCCTCAGGAAGGTTGGTACTGTGGCCACTCGGAAGACACAACTTCAGCTGCTCAGACAAGGCTGAATGGAGTCAGCACATGATTTCTTTAAATCTGCTTTCATGGGCTTTTTAAACAGGCAGATGTTTCACTGTGATTCTCACTGTCTTTCTTTTATTAGGATGTCCCAACATTCACAGTAACAAGACAGGTTTGGTTTGGTGAACAGGGTTTGCATGAATGAAGATTTCTACTAAAACAGTAAAATTAAGAAGCAGGCATGTGTTCTTGCTTATGGTACTGTTTTTTTCTTTTTCACTGCGGCAGATACGAAGGCCAAATTTACCTCTCATGCAATTGTACAGTTCTGACCAAAATGTCCCACTGAGATCAGCAGAAGTCTTGTTGCAGACTTCAGCAGGCTTTCCTTTGACACTCTTAAAAGCAGGGCCGCTGAAAACAGTGTAATTAAAATGTCTGCTTCATAAGAGAATTGGGCTGCATGTAAGTTAAAAGAAGTAAGATGGATCTTTGATACCTAAAGAGACAGATTTCAACCCCTGTCCCAGGAAGTTAACACTCTCTCATTACCTTATCTGGAAAAGAAGCCCAAGGTGTCCCTATCTATGTCTTGGAGGGTAAGACAACATCATAAGTACATGCAACTCCATGAACAAGCCCTGAAGAGTCACTTCTCCAGGCTATCAATCAAAATCTATCCTGGTAAACAGGCAGAGTCAGATGAAAAAACAAAAACCCAAACATTTTCTCAATGCAATTTGGATTAAATAAAACCAGTATGAACCCCTTGGGAATTAATTTCTACAATATCTCTTTGAAAAACTGTCTTTATCATGGTGCTTTTGGGTCAGTTCAACACAGCTCCAACATGGGAAGTTAGCAGTGCAAGAGGTGGGCATGAGAGGGAAATTGCTGGTTATATAGAGTACACTGCTTCCCAAAGAAGTAATTACACTAAGACATTGGGTAAGAGAGGGAAATCTGGTGCACTGGAAACAAACAAGCAGGGCCTGATCTTTCAAAGATTTAAAATACACAACACTTGCTTCCACAGGATTCGGAATTTTCATTTTGCTGATTATAACAGAACCATACATATGACTAGTTACATACATGTCTATATGTTTGAAATATTAAGAAAGAAGCATGACTCTTTTTTATGGTGTCTGAAGAGCAATACAGAAGTGGCTGCACTCAGAGTAACATCGAGTGTTTCTTTATGTGAGAAACTATCTTTCCATAAAAGATCTAACTGGAATTCGACTTACCCGAAATGATTCAAGTTCTTTCTCAGTGAAATTGGCTGATTTGGCCATGTCCCACAAATCAATCACTCTTGGTTCTTCAAATTCTAAACAAACACATACCACTAAATAAAAATCTGGACATAACTGTTTTATGCCCAGCTCCTATGCAAGATGAGCATGCTTTCTCACATACATACACACAGATATATTAAGCACTGCATTACTAATAGGCTTGTTTAGATGAAAAGGGAGAAAAAGCCACGTACTTAAAACTATAGTATTGCTGTAGCAAGTATTTTTTAAAAAGAAAAAATCCCCCAAGGAACTGAATAATGGTATTGCTTGCCCTGCATGTTGTCTCACCGACCTGCTCTGCTGGGGCTAAAGGCATAATATCCCTTCTCATGCGGGCATGGAAAACAGAACTATCCTCATTACCGGTTGTCCCTATCCTTTCACTAGGCTTCTAGTGTTGGCTTCTAAATACAACAGGCTGGCTGTACCTCTTCAGCCCATTGTGGTCACACTGTGTACTGTGATACTGTGTCTACATCTTACTACTTGCTCACTGATTTTTTTTTTTTTAAATGAAATTGATACCAAATAAGCATAAAACCCACTGTATCATACCACTGGTTCTGTCATATCCCTGGTGACTGACTTTACGCAGACGCTCAAACCCCTGATTGATACTTCTTAGCTTGTCTTTCAGTTCTCTGTGTTTGTTGTGCAAGATTTCCTCTTTCACTAGGTTCTCTTCAGATGGGTTGATAACATTTTTGTGGATATCTGTTGAAGAAGAAAAGCGTTATTGATTGTGGGCCAAATCCTGATAGGTCAAAAGCTCCAGAAATCTCCCAAATCTGAGGAGAATAAAAGATGCTAAGTTCTTAGCATTTGAGTTGAGTGTAAATAAAGCATCAGCACCATGCTCTAGAAGCAGTAACTCCTTTTGCAGGTCAATATTAAGATCAATGTCCCTCAGTGCTCTGGAGGGTGATATTACAGAAATGCCTTTTAACTCCTACTGACTGTAGTAAGGAAATGTTCTTATTTTCCTAGGTTAGCAATATCCCAAGGAAACGGGACAGTGATGGTTGATGAGTCCTGTACCCTCTTCCCTGGGCATTTCATGAACTAACCAGGACATCTGATGTTGAAATGACTTCCAGAAGCTTCCAGCTCGGACTCTATAATGCAAACATCAAACTGCATACAAACTTTAGAATACTTTGGCTCTAACAAAACTTCAGCTAGGATTGGTACAGCAAGCTGTTTTCAGATCCTCGATGCTTTAATACACCTCAGGCTCAGTGCCTAAGATATTCAAGTATATCCTCTTGGGCTCCCAGCTGGTGAGATAAAACATGCATGTTCTGCAGACTGTAGGACCAGACTTTGCAGCACTGGATCTACGCTTCATGCATAATTTCCAGTAAGCTAATCTGATGGTATCTTCCCTGCTTGAAATGCAGGCAGAATCAGAAAACTGAAATGGCAACATTTTCATTAGCTGGCAAGACGTCTGGCAGCTAATGCAGAACTAAACCCAGCAAGTATGTGGAAATGTCAGCATCTGCAAGCAGTTCTGACAGAAATGTCAGACTTCAGTAGGTTCAACGAAATTTGGAAACAATGGAGGCAATGGGCAGAGAAAAGAGCTGTACTGATCTTGAAACATCAGAGAAATGTTCAGTCACCTTCTGTTCTGCTCACAGTCTCCAGCAGAATATTGTATTCCTGAATCTTTTCTTTGTGATGCTTAAATTCTCGCCAAAGCTTATCCAACTCCTCATCAGAGAATTTCCCAGAGGTCTTGGCCTGAAAGAAACATCAACTCATTACGCTTTCCAGGCCAAGTGCTTTTAAGTGCACTCAACTGCCAAAACTTCCCACCACGTTCAGAAAATTAAGTCGTCCAGCTTTTCCATAAGATCTTTTGTTTTACATCCCTTTATATTAGTATGAGGTCAGGATTTAGACATCAATGGATATGGTGGCTTTAATCATGTCAAAAGGAAGTTTGCTTCAGACTTATAAAGCTAGACTTGCTGTGGACTACCCAGTGAAAAGTGTTTGTCATTTCTATTTCATGGGAAATAATTTAATATGGAAATAAGGGCCATGGAGCTCAACATACAAATGTAAGGGGACTATTTACATGAGGGTTGCAGCCTGATATAAAACAGTCTTTCTTAATCTTACTCTACTGGCAAGTGAAGATTTTATCACTGCCGTGCATTTGCTCTGCAGTGATTTGTTCCTCCCTGGACTACCTTTTAGCAATTAGGGAAGCACTGGTCAGACAGCTGGAGCACTACCCAGAAATCTGGTGACTTATTTGCTACAATGCATGATCAACTCAGCCCCAACCCTTTTTTTGCTTAGGGAATATTTTATCTAATGCACTTTACTGTTCCCCAAAGCACATGACGTCACGCCCCTTGCCAGAGCTGTACCTAGTTACAGTAACATTTTAAAACCCAGCAAATCATCTTCTCTGCTTTACTGCCATTGCACTAGACTGGTGTAAGAATTCTTTGCTTTTCCTGACTACTTGTTTCTTAAAACTTGAATTATTTGATTTTTTAAGATTATGACTTCACCAATTTTAACTGTCCAGACTGACAGTACACTTTCTGGTTTTTATGCAGTAATACAAATCCTGGAAATTTTCACTAGAGTACCGTGTTGGGAAAGTCCTTATTTAGCACCCTCCACAATACATTTCACTTTTAAACAGTCTGTGAAATGGCTTTTATTTGAAATGCATCTTTTTAAAAAAGCCCGGAAACAACAATAAGAAAAATAGGAAAAACACCATAGGGATACTACCACAGAGTATAATAGTTACACAAAGCAAAATCATGAGTTCAGTGGAATTTGAGGAAAAACCCTGTTTGTCCTCAGCGGACCCAGGATCTTACCCTCCATGCAGACTGATGCAGGTGTTTTTGGCAAAGAGAATCCGCCACATCTGTGACCTGGATGCAGCTCGGATGCCCTCAGGGCAGAGAGATGGAAGCTACAGAGCACAGCAGCTTGGCCAGTACTTAAAAGCAGAGTAGTAAAGCTATTTAGTTCCAAGTCTGGGGGCTCTCAGAAGACACAGACAATAGTTCAGTGAAGAAACACTGGTTTCCTACACTCCAGTTCCTGGAAACCTTACTCACCTTGCTCCATAATTTTTCCAGTCTTGGATCATCTAGTGTATCACTTTCTGTACCATCTTTAATGTAGTTGGTATCTACTAGTTGAGAGTCCTTCTTTCCATTCATCCCATATTTAGTCATAATGACTGCAAGGGAATTGAAGATACAGAAGTATTAGAACCAACTATGGATGTATGGAAGATGGGAGATTAGCTACATCCTTGACCTTGCAGAGCTGGATTTTGCAGCTCACAGTGGAAAAGCTAACAGTTAAGACACAGAGGTCCCAGGTTTAATGACCTATTCTGAAAACATCAGCAGTAAAGGAATCTGTTAGCCTCCTGCAGGTCCCTACTGACCTCCAAAGAACTCGTGTGTGCTCAGGTCTGGAAAGAACCTGTTATCATTCTGTGATTCTATGATTCTATTCTATGATTCTATTTAATGGTTCAAACACAGGTGTCTAACGATGCACATGTCTGATGCAAAGTTTAAACTCCTTCTGCAAAGATATACCTTACCATTTAAGTTGCGTCTGAGTTTGGCTTCTTTCTCGCCATCTTCATCTAGCCCTTCAGCCTTCAGTTTTTTCCAGCTTAGCTCATCCTTTTCTTGTATTTTTAGATCACTGTGCAACTCTGCCAGTTTCACAGCAGAGAGATGAAGCTAACAAGAACAGAGAAAGGTTTGTGTTCAGTTATGTGGAGTCACCTCTTGCTCCAGTGTTACCTCAGAAGCCAGTATAGATACATAGCCAGTATAGCACAGCATTTTTTTCTTTTACTCTAATGCTATGCGTCCATCTGAATTTAAGGGCCTTAAGGTACGAGCCACTGCATACATAACATCTCTTGCCTATGAACATGGCTGTGCCCCCAGCATACTAGTGTTAATAGAGAGTGATCACGTAGCCTTCTCTCTCAGCTCTTCAGCTACTTGGACAACAGTGAAATTGCGTAAGGGTTAAAACCTTGTGACTTTCTCTGGTGTTCCTTCAAGTAATATTTAAATGGAACTTTTCCCCTACTTTTAACGGGACCGCCTTCTAAAAATGATTCTACTTTAAAAATGTCCAGTACCAGTAACAAAGAACGTGTCAAAAAAAAAAAAAAGTATTAAATCAACTCAGTTTCACTAATTCACAAAAGGCAGTAGCAACCAAATTTCTCAAACATGCCATTGTCACCACATGTGCTTTCTTGTGGACCACCTTCTAACCATATATAGCGAGTTGGTAAATTTTCTTTGTCAGTATGGTTTTGCAGAATACCAGGACACTGAGGATGGCCGTGCAAGTCAAAGAGCAACTTCATCAGCAATTTTTTACTATGATCAAAGTGCAAAATTTTCCAAGATCACTTCTTAACACGGTTTACGTGCATTAAAAACATACAAAACCTAGAGGTATTCCTGTCCCACATAACAGAACAAAAAAATAAGATATTGAGGCTGAAGCTATGAAAATTTAAATGAATCATAGGTCAGCTTGAAATTTTGTGAAATATAGAGAAAACAGGAACAGAGACAATGACTAATATGCAGTTGGCTAAGCAGCACTGCTGTAAGTTGAGCCTGAACTTCTGAACTTCCAGATTGTAGACACTTTAGTTATTCAATTTAAAACAAAGAAATGTAACAAATCATATTAATGCTTCAGAACTTCTTGTGTGTGTGCGTGCGTGCATGTTAATAACAAGAAGGTAAGCTAAGGAAAAGCCCAGAGGAGAGAGGACATCAAAAAGCATGTGCAGGGTGACTTCCAATACAGTTCTACCTGAGCTACACGAGTCCTTCTACATCCGACCACTGAGCAGCCAGCTCCTGGGAGCTCAGAGGCAGCTCTGAACCACCTGGGCTCATCTGTCCTAGGACAAGCTTATTTACTGAAGGTTTTTTGTTTTTGTTTTTGTTTTAATTCTCATTTTCACTGAGGAAGCAGTATGTTTAATAAACAAAGACACAGAACTCGGTATTCTTTTTAAACATCAGAATGATACTGAAAAGATTCATGCATTCGAGTGTCAGCAGGTTATTTGAAAGTAACTAGGAAAAATGTCATTATTTTGAGCTAATGCACTAAATTCCTCTTGACAGGAATTCAGGAACCAATGCACATTATTGTTTCTGCTTTCAGCTCAGGCTGCCCTATTAATTAGTCTTGTGCTACTGAATATAATTATTTTAATTTTTAAATTAAGGTTTTTTCTTGTGTCTTCCACTTGGCTTACTGAAATAATTTACTAAAATCTAGAGTAGTTAGAATCACAGCTAAATATAAAATTTATAGAACACATTAAAACTTCTGATCCCTCTAATACTAACACAAAGGAGCATCCCTATTGTCATCTTTACCATCTGCTTTTGGGGAACTGCTTGATAAAAGCTAAGCACTTAGAAGGAAACACTTTATTTCTGATTTATAGCATGTGCTATAGTCAAAAAACTTAATAATGTACTTATTTGCTTTTCTGGAGCAGGATGACCTGGACAGCTGTAAGTGGCACCAAGTAACAATGCTTTGCTCACCAAGAATTGCACCCTGATACTTCAGGAGGAAGACTGAGTGAAAAGTTTGCCATAAATTGTGAAGGAAATGACTGAGCGCCTCAGTAGTTCTGTACTCTAACGCCAGCATTCAAGTAGCGTGGACTTAATATGTAGTTAGGATGACCAAATCCAGGAAAAAAAATCACCTGCAATAACTTAGCTAACAATTAATTCAGCTTCTAAGTACTGCAAAAATAGGAAAATACAATCTTTTAAATGTATGACGTTATCATCAGAGACACACTATTATATAAAAGATTACACAATGCAGTTTATACTCTCTGCAGTTTATACTCTCTGCAGAGATTATCTCATAATCACATACAGTTTTGTGTTTTATAAAAGTTCCAGAGAAGAATATCAGAACTTCTAAACATAAAATTTGGAGACATCTCACCATCAATCAAACATTTTAAACTCTTAATAAAAATGAAGGAACTCCATTAAGCTTGTTGTTCCTCAAGGGAAAAACGAAAGATTCTATTCAAATTTCTCCCAATTCTAATAATATCTTTCTGATTCTCATTATAACTTAGTATGAAACTCACGTAACTGTCCTTTGAAACATTATAAATCCTTTGAAACATGTCAGAAGCCCCTTGCCTGTCCCATTTATATAACACAAAAGTGAATTACATAGTCTGATTTAAAGTATATAGTTCAAGAACTGCTTCCTTCAAGATCATATCATGTGGGACCCCAAATGACACCAGGTAAAACATGTCAACAGGTGAGGCTCCACTTCACTTTACTAACATCAGTCATACCTTGGAATAACTAACTAGAAGCAGAGTTGAAAAGCTAAGTTTAATGATTAAACAATAAAGCACCTAGTTCCTTACACTCATTCCTTACTCCTCATTCCTTATGCTGCCCTGACATTAACATCCAAGGTAGGCATCTGGCAATTCTGGGAACGAGCACTGGAAATCTGTAAAACATTACAACAATTAAGTTGTTTGCTGTTTGCCTGGCTACAACATTACCTGCAGTATCATTACCTACACCCTTGCTTCTGAGAGGAAAGGGTGCTTTACTACAAATTTTTTAGGTGTAACATGCCCTAGATTCTGGAGCCCACTGCTGCTTTGGGATGGCCAGGAAGCCCTGGTAACAAGCGATGCCAGAACTACACCAATGGCAACAACCACAGCACAGTGGGTTATCAGAGACTAGCAGGCCACACCACATACCTCGAGAAACCTACATAATATTTGTCATTGGTTCAAATAACTACAGAATTAGGGTCTGACTAAGAAGAACTCTTGTATTAAAATCACTTTTTAAAGTTTTTATATAAAACATATACTTGTGAAAAGAGATGCTGGAGAAGGATCAAACCCTCCCTCCCTCCGGGAAACAGGAAGGAATTCTGGCTTGCCAGCTCCTGGTTCCCACTATGTAACATTTTGGGGCTTTCTGAAGGACTGCTCGTCCAGCTGTGTGTTACAATGCTGAATTGCAACATCCATCTTTTATGTCAAAACAAAGGAGTTCCTTGTTTTCAGTACGATCTCCACCACTACCAAAATGAAGGAAAGACAGCTCAGCATTGGCACACACAAGTATTTCAAAGCAGGTCTAATACACAGGCATAGTTGTTCTCTTTTTTCAGACCTGGACCAGACATACTGAAAAATCACTTTCCAAAACACAGGCTGGGTGTCAATTGTACTCACAAGTGAAATTTAGATGGTGGCAAATTTTGTTCAAGTAGGTGTTGCCTCTCTAAAATCTGGCTTACGCATATAGAATATACTACAACTTAGTTCTTTACTCTGACAGAGTTAACTTCGTTTTACATTTTAGCATCTTAACGTAGATGATGTAAAGCATCTCAAATTTGAATTCCAGAAGATCCAGGTATGAAAATGAAAAAAAAAAAAAAGACTGCAATTGGAAAAACAAGAGGAAACTGACAATACTATCATTATAGTTTATTTCTAATCTCCATGTTGTTTCTTCTTCAGCTGTCAGTTCACAGCTGGGGTTTCATTATCACACACTGCCCTATCCTCCATCCCATCCTTCTCGCACTGGGGGAAGGAGTATTTTTGATACCTTATTTTGGCTCGTTGGGAGGCAGCATTATGGCAGGGGTTCTATTTTTTGACTAAACCCAGGGATGTCCTGCCTCTAATTCAATAGCTCAGGCTGAGAAAATGTCTATCCAGGATACAGCAAATCCAGAATTAATATTAACTATATTCCTTTGCCTGAAACAACTGAACCTTTACGAGCCATAACCCTAACTTCCATGCTCCACAATATTCAAGGGATGAATATGGGTGTGCAGCGTGCTCCTCCCCTCCTGTTGGAGCTGTTCTGCTTAGCTGTAATTACATATTCCCACCGTCATTAAATATTTTTACTGCATTTTCACTTTAATTGCTTTTTTAGCTCAGAGTGAGAGAAACTCAAGTATCACTGTCAAAATTAGGGCTCTCATCTGGGAATGGTGATACCCATTTGCTGGTCCTCCTGCACGTGGCTACATCACTTGGTATAAATGAAGGGGACATAACCACCAAGGTGGAGGGTTTCTTACTCTTCCGTGCAGTGAGGTCCTGTCTTGTGCAAAGCAGGAACTAAGGCCACCGCTTCCAGACAGATGAGAGCATCACGCCCCTTAACAAAAGGGCTAAAGCATTCAACCAGCTAGTGCAGGAGCCAGTCTCATCCTCCATGGTACCAGAGGGACTTCACTCTCTCTTCCACTTCTTGGGCATGTGGTTCAACTGCTGGATTTAAACACGGGAAGAGCAACACTTCCCATGACACAGACACATACAGCAGGAGAGGGGAAGGAGATACCTCCAGAGAGAAGACCTTACACAGCACCGCTGTTCCCAGCCGCCGGGGACAGCCCCAGGGAGCGGGG